ACTGACACGATTATTTATTCAATTACTCGAGTTTCTATTACCATTGAACAACGATGGCGCGCATTGTACCGAGCTGTCCGGATCAATCGGATTGTCTACCATTCGGCTAATGGTATCAGTTACGTGAGAGACTTTTAACTTCTTTACGTAGAAGTTGGAATTAAATAACTCGAAAAGATATGTCGAAACTGCAGAATTCGAAGACATGTTGTTCCTTTAGCAAGAATGTCGCTTATTAACGGATATTTTTTTAAGAGTTGCTACAAAGTTTATGTATAAGATTTATTAAGTTATAATTAAGTTATGTTTTTTTCTTTTATCCCAAATTCCTTTACAAACGTGCATTACTTTATAGCTTTCCTATATTTATATATTATATCTGAAAAATATGTTATATATATTATCTACTGTAATTATTATATCTACGTAAAATGTCAAAACTTTAAGAAACTTCATCACGAAGTGGGGGGTAAAAATTCTTGGGAAAATAACTCGCATACTTTAAATTACATGTTACGTATTCCGATAAATTTTTGGATGGTGCAGCGGAATGAAACATATTTTTTTATCCAGCACATCAATTCGTACGTACACATTCGTATCGCTTGCGAATACGAATAGTAGGGAAAAAAAAGAGCGAGAGAAATAGAGATAAATTACACGTCTTTTTACGTAGTTGTAGTTTTATTTCCGTGATCAAACGCTATGCGAGACAATTAAAGTCGTTAATTTAAATAAGAAAATAGCTCCGCGTGCAAGGAGAAACTGCTATCAATAGGGTCCGCGAAAGACAAACTGTTCGCGAGCCGTTTCTCTCTGGCGGATAAACCGTTTAAACGTGAATTTAATTTTCCGAAAATTACCAACGACCCGAGCGCGACCGAGACTTATCGGATGACTAAGCCGTCGATTAATATTTTCCGCGGCAACGATTTCTCCTCGAATATCGCGACGACAATCGAGCCCCTTCGCAAGGGCTAATCACGCGAGGAATGAGAGCGACAGGCTGAATTCAACGTGTCGTTCTTTGGCATACATTTCGCTCGTCACGTGGCGACATCTGGCTCGTTAATTATTTGCCATGTAATATCGCGAGTGGATCGAAAAGATTTGATTGGATCGAATCCCTTTGTGATTCACCGAATACATCGATCCGCTCTCTATCTCCTGTCCCTCGCGCATTCCCACATCGCAGATATATTAGATATTAGATACTTGAACCTATTAGCGTTGCACGTGAATCACATCCCACCACCCGCGCGATTGATCGATAATTATCAAACGCTTTGTGTCACGATAGAGCGCGCGCAATCCCACGCATATCTTCGTTACAGATCGAGAGCATTCGAGAGAGGCGAAGTGGGTTATTACATTCCCTCCGCTTGGCGAGAATGAGACGTCTCCGGTTTGTATCGCTACATGCGATGGCCCGTCTTGCAACCATTCCCCCCGCCCCTCTTTTCCCTCAGTCAGAGAGACTCCGAGAGATACAGCGACATTATATCGCGATATTAAAACGGTCGTAATGGTTTGTGACATACTTAGCGCCTCTCTCGCGTTAATGAAACCGCGAGAGCAGCTTGAATCCGAAAATGTAACTGTAATTATCGTGCGACCGTAATTGCACTAACGCTTCATCGACGCGTGATGTATCCTTAATTTGTGAAATTAACCGGAAACCCCCGGCGCACTGCACGAATCGAACGCCGGGGCGGAATCTGGATCTAACGAATCCTCGGCGATACAATTGCACATTGTAATAATTATAAGTTGCCGTGTAATTATAATAAAATGTATTGGTCGTTCTAAACATGGAACATTTCAACGCACTTGAAACACACTTGAGAGGATGAATTGTAGTATTTGGCAACTAATCAACAGGTAAAAATAGCTATAAGTATAAAAGAATTTTCTAAATTAATAATAAATAGCTCTTTAGAAAAAGTTTGTCATTGTTCTGCAAGCGTCTGCAATTGTTTCTCGCGCATATGGACGAACGACGGGTAATTATTTCTTAAAGCAACGTCTTTTCTTTAAGACATTTCATTGTAATGTTCGGATTTTACACCGGTAGCTACGATTTGACAAACGAGCAAAACGCTTGGAGTTTTCTTTTCAATCATGGGTTTTCAACTTACTTTCACTTGTAGACGCTTGTCGGAATTTACCGATAAATTACACGGAACTTTCCGAAGCGTTTTAAGTTGGATTACTTTGTCTGAATGTTGGGGCGATTGTTTGAGCGATTGCTATTCTTTCGCAAATTACTATTCAATTGTTTTGCGTGTTTAATGAGCTTTTGGCTACGGTCCACTTGATGCTACAAAATGCTTTGATTGGTCAATTAGTCAAATTCTTTCTTCTAATTGGCCAAACAAATGCTTCGAAGCGTTTGTAGTGTTAAGTGGAGCAAACTGCAGCGAATGTACCTTAAACAGCAAAACGTAGTCCTATGTCGATACAAATTATGCATTTATTAAACAACTCTCTAATTCTAATTAATGTTTAATTATCTTTACTTACCTTTCTTCAGTATATCCATGTGATTAAATTAAAAACTTGATCTTAACTTAAAATAGTATAATTAAAAATTATGTAATTTTTATATATGATCTTTTTTTTATCGAAATCGAAACGATAAAATGTTATTTAAAAAAAACCAATCCTTTATCAAGTTATTTAAATACTCATAGTCTTTTAAAATAAATTTTCAGTTAATTAAATTTTAAATTATTTTTTTGTATTTGCTGTCGACATTTTTTCTATTTTTAATAATAATACATATTTTATTCACATTTCTAATACTTTACTAGTCGCACAAATGAGATCGTAGATATTAAGTAATAATCTTAAAGGAATATCTCTCATAATTTTTTATGAGACATATTTCATTTGATATTTTATTAGACATATACATTTTAATTTAATATATAATGTATCTTTTTTCTGTTAGTTTAATACAAAATTAACAGTAATTAAATTTTCTAATATTATCGTATACATTATGATGCATATACATATATCATATTTATCATCGATATCAATATTGAAATATTTATGTGGCATAATTAAAATTTAATTATACTTTATATATAATTAATTATCGTGATCCGAATAATTCATCTAATAAGTTCTTAACATAAAACATTTTATCTCATGTAAAATTATATTATATAAACCATCTTATTATATAAAATCTATTTCCAACACTTACTCGCAATAAACATTGAAATACTTACTGATTAGGGAATATCGATATATTTATTTAATTTGTAAGGATAATATACATTGCATACATAAGAAATGGAATAGACTTGTGTGCTTACTTACACATATTTTCTAATATGCAGCAAATACAAGTATCGTAATAAAGAATTAACTTCGGGAGTGTGCGTGCGAGTTGTGCGGTTAAAAAATGTTTCCTCTATCTCTGATTGATTCGGAGCTGTGGAGGCTGGCAGTTTATTTATGGACACAATCTCTTGAATGCGATTTTGGTATAATTGTTCGCATGTGGCTTTGGCTATAATTTATCGCGATAAATCTTTTTAAAAATCATATCGCCCGAAACGCAAACGCACGCGCGTCCGTAAATGAGATGTAACTTTGTTATCTTATATTTATGTTATATTTACAATGCTAAATTGCGAGAGTTTATTATCATCAACATGGGTGAAAGCTAACGGTAGAACCGACGTTACTGTGCACAACTTTTGTTTACAGAACTCAATATCCCATTTGCATTAAACTGCTTGCTAGAAACTTGCCAAACTTATAAGGAGCAAATAATACCTGATTCCCGTGATGAAATGTTGCCTGCCTCCCAACGAGATTTCATCGTTAAATTCGTTCGCGAAGATGTAATACATTTGCGAATGTAATGCTCTACGAATATAACGCTCTACGAATGCTCTGGGAAATGTGAAGATCTCTGAAATTTTAAATTTTGTTGGAATTCAAGAATTTCTGTAATATACATATATATGCTAAGTTAACGACTTTCATTAATTTTACTGATAATATTTTTGAAAAATTTTTGTTGTGTAGTTTTTTTGGTTCATGTTATTTGTTTATATTAAAGATTTCTTATTGAAATTCATTTCCGAATACTTGAAACGCAGAAAAGATTGACGATTTTGTACTGAAAGAAAAAAGAAAGGAATAAAATTAAGTCTCTGAAGACATTTTAATGTAAGCAGAAACGATAAGTTTTCGCGAAAAAAAAAAACTTCTGTTTCAATGCGACGAGAGTTTATGATGACCAACGACACAAGGTAGCGCGACTTGGTTGTTGAAGTTGGCGAACAAATTCGTCCACGTCGAAAGACGGCCAAATCTCATTCCACGAATATTATTCGCTCGTTACGAGTTCAAGCGGAGTTTCTATCAAGTAGTGTCACTTGGATAAGACGTTTCTTTAAACGAAAGTTACATGATTACGCGAAACTTTGCAGTCCTCCTTAGATTCCGCCACTGGGGGATACAAGATTCTCGGAAAACTGTCTGCAGTTGAATCTCTCGCTTTAAGTTTACTCGCAAATAGGTTTTTCTTTGATCCCACGCGGAATCTGTCACATCTCTACCTTCACGAACATTTGACTTTCACCGTCATGTCTGCAGAGAGTTCGCGAGATGCGAGGTGAATTACACGGAAAGAACAATTTTGCTGAATCTAGATCTGAAAATAATTTTTGTTCAATAATCAAAATAATTTTGTGCGAAAGTCAAAGTGATTGCTAAAATATCAAAATGTTTTATAGCGATTCTTATCAGCTTTAACATTCCAACAAATTATTTTGATGATTCAACAAAAAATTATTTTCAGATCTATTTTTAGCAAAATTGTTAGACCTTTCAATAAAATCGTTCTTTCCGTGTAAGAGTGAGCATATACGTATGATACATGAATTTTCGATACATAGATTCAGACTAGGTATCTTGAGCCGTCGAAAAGAAAGAAGGTAACATCAAGTATTCGAACTTCTTTCAACGAGCTTCGATTTTTTTTTTTTTTGCGAAAGTGTCGGTTTACGATAGTCACGTGGCGCGACAGATGAGAATCTGTAAGTACCGTCTTACATTTTCGATAATCAGGAGAGCCACGAGAGTGAGTATAGTGTTGCTTGACGTAGCCGTCGTGGAATTTCGTCGATCGCCTCCGTGCATGGCCGCCGGTTTCTCCTCCTCTGCGAAAATAGATGAGATTCCTTGACGGGATCAAATGCGAAGCGAGAGAGAAAAGCAATAGCTGAGGGTGCATAGAGTGCTTTGCGGAATAGCTGGTCAAACTTTGACAGCGTTTTTATTTCCTACCGATTGTTCTTTGTTAAGAATACCTCGCATAAACATCAGCATTAGTTTTTTAACTATGGTATATTAAGCGAAAAGTTAACAGAAAGAAAAATGTTAGCGAGGTAAAATATGTTAATTTACGACAATTAAATTTGAATTAATTAAAGAAATGGCTCGTCCTTGCAAGTTTTTCTACGCGTTTTATGTTGCAAATGTACGTTCCTCGCCAATACACGAGAAACTTGAAACGGTCGTCTGTTGATCCCGGTCGGAATTGAATTGCCGAAGTAGACTACTGGTTTAACCTTCCCCACTAAGGCTAAAAAATGGGCGACCGGTCTTCTATACTGCTCGGATCCTCCGAGATTGAGGATGGTTTGCGGATTTCACGGCCTATAAAGCTTCGCCCCATACTTTGGCGCAACGTCTGTTTTTATCCGAATTCAGATTTTCACGCGTGTAGCATAAATAAATGTCTAAATGGTTCGAGGAAAAAGATTCTCGGCGGTTCTAGTAGATCGACGAGATCGAACATATTTTTTTTTGTTCAAAAGGCTCAGCCGAGGTGAAGAGAGAATGCAATGAGATTGACAGGGCGTAAAAATGATGGAGCGTCTTCAATACCGCGATAAACGACTGACATAAAATCAATATACAGAAATACGTGTTATTTAAATTTCTGCTATCTCAGTTCTGTCTAATCAATGTAATTGTGCATCTAAGAAAAGTACACATTTACTCTTCCTTCATCTTGTTAATAAATACTAAATTGTAACAACAAAATCGAATAAGAGTTATAATATTATTAAATATTCATACATTTTAATTATATATTTATTGCGTCCAGTTAATTTACTTGTTCGAAGAAATCATTTAAATATTTAGGAATTTGGGAGATTAATGAGTCACGAAACGCGCGTCCGGGAACAATTGCTCACCCTCGATGACATGTAGCATGATGTGAGCCGGCCTGGCGTTGCTCGGCGAACACGTGTAATTCGCGCCGTGCGAGAGCTTCACCTTCTCCACGATGAGCACGGAGCCGTTTCTCCTGAGCTCGAATCTAACGCCGGGCTCGTTGTCGTAGTTTATCATGCGCGCCTCGCGATACCAGAACACGTAGCTGGGCAATTCTGCGGCCGCCATCAGCTGGCACTCCAGGCGCAGGCTGGAGCCCTGCTTCACGTGGAGATCCGGTCCGCCCGGAATTACCGAGTACGCCTCCGTGATGTTCAGCCGCACGAATCGCTGCTGCATCGGCTCCGTCTGGATCTGTTTTATTAAAGCATCGCGAAATGAGAATTATTATAATTATTATTTATGAAATATATTTTTTGATCCTGACATATACATATATATATATATATATATATGCTACGATGTGTTTTCTATAATATAACAGAAGGCATGGAAAAGAATAAAACAAAAGTAAAAGAAAAGTAAGAATATTTCTAACGATATTATATGTAACTATATTGTAATATAACTAAGTTATTATATATATATATATACGTATAGATCGTTTTGTAAAGAGACAGGTCAACAGATACCAAGGAAACTCTGTTATTATTTGATAGAACAATTTGATAAATTGGATTATTACTGCTGTCTGACCGCGACACGGTTTTACTACTGATTGAGCTGGTAAACACCAGTCATTTGATGCGGTCTAGCAAAGATCGGCGCAACGTGAACCCGCCGATTGTCCCGTCTGTTATTTTTTAAGGATAAAAAACTCCATTGTTGAAGAAGAAGACCAATTGTGTTTGTTAAGAAAGTACTGTCGATATTAATGCTTGGTGAAATAATTCACTTTACTTGAAATCAGATATTTTTATGGGGAGAAAGGATATCTACTTATTGTATTTAAAATAATTTTAACAATCCGCATGAAATATAATGTAAGTAATTGAAATTTATGAGAGTTTCCTTGGTATTTGTTGACCATACCTCTTAACTTAACGATCTATACGTATAATAACTTAGTTAAATTGCAATATAGTTACATATAATATTGTTAGAAATATTCTTACTTTTCGGTGATTATGTTTAATATTTAATTGGGCAGATATTTCTTTTTAAATTTCGTATTCTTTTCTTTCTAAATTCAGAGATCTTTAAACGGAAGATGCTTTACCTTCTTGGCGGATAATTACTCCAATTTTGAATTATTTTAATTATTTTAATTTAAATTAATGAAATTCATTTACGGTGAACCATTTGCGGATTTTGAGTAAATTGCAAACTAATTTTAGGTACAGAAAATTGATATTGACACGATGTCGGGCATAGCATGTTATCTCGTGAACGTCACGTATTACCTGACACTCGTAAAGACCCGCATCTTCGTGATTGACGTTCTTAATCAGTAGATTCCAGCCGGGACCGTTTGCGACAACGAAACGCGTGTCTATAGAATGTGTGCTTCTACCCACTGTGAGCAGTTGTCTGTCTTTTCGCCTGACCCACGTTACCTGAAATACGAGGTTTATTCGTCAATTTGCCGTTATACTGTTACTCATTCAACGCTCCGGAATAAATCATCTTGAGTGAATAAAAGATACAAGTAAGATTAAAGGTGATGTAGAGACAGATAAATATCGAATATAACATATGAATACGTAACGTGCAGAAAAATCATGAAAATTTGCTATGGTAATGTTCATTTCTTTATGCGCGCATGCATTATTATTCTAATATGCTATATCACGCGCAGTTTTACAAACCACCCCAGATTTTACCGATTATCATATTAATAAAATACAGAGTATCTCCTCGCGTTCTCTCACCGAATTTCAGTCATATAATTCCGTCTTTTCGTTAGCGAAGAAAAAGAAATTCGCAGAGCCGCGAATTACATTCCAAATAAAGTAAGACAAAAATGAAATTCCGGAGACGCCCGCTTTTTGCATTATTTATTTTGCCACCGCCGGCAAAGCGCGCGATCGTCTTTGGCCGAAACGACCCAGATCCCTACGTATTACTTTGCTTGCATTCGATTAAATTTTCAACCTCGCGACTTTCTCTCTCTCTCTCTCTCTCTCTGTAGCGAGCAATAGGAACAGAAGTATCTGCTTGACGGATCTTCTGAAATATCCGGCGCGCGATATATACTTCGCTAGAAATATATTGCGTGAGTCCCTCGCTCTGTTGACTTCAAAGATAGACATCGACGGTTATTTATGGAAAATGTCACCGAGATAGAAATAGATCTTCCGCAGAATCTCAAGATATTCTTGTGCGTCAGCGAGAAATTTCCTCCCTCGCACGAATCTATATGTTTACCGCAGATATTTTATTCAATACCTGAAAATCGTTAGGTGCGTTTTGCGTGCAACAAGATATACACATTATACATTGCACTCTTTATGTAAAGAGAACGCGCGCTCTCTGTCTTTGCGTCGCGGTTATCTCACGCCCACTGTCAGCCAGGAGGAGGAAGCCAGCCGTGAGTTATTTAAAAAATTGAATTCAGCAACGCGAATTTTCTTTTCCACGCGAAGGGAAATAAAATCCTTTTGAGGGGGGGGGGGAGATTGTGCGTCTGATTATACCGAAAACGTTCAATTTTTAACGCCAGCCTTGCCCACTCTCTCTCTTTCCCGCCGGGCCGCAATATCTTCACCTTCGCTCAAACTTTTTCGCATCTTATATCAGCGCAGAGAGGATGCGGGGGCGGGAGGGGAGAAATGCATATCCATTGTCATGCGGCCGACGTCGCGCGATGATGAGCGACTTTACGTTTAATGTTTGTATTTCGCGGCACAAATCCTTGGAAGTAATGGCCGAAGTTTCGGCTGATATTGAGGGACGGGGAATTGGCGGGCGTGCAACTTTGAGGATATTTGGGCGAACGTCGCGCATTAGATTATTATGTAAGCCGCGTTGTTTATTAGATGACAGCGACCGAAGTTTGAGACACATATTACTATGACGTTAATCGACACCGCTGCGGCTGCTCACATCATATTAATGCAAAAACGTTCTTGTCTTCCCTTACGAATAAAAGAATGATAAATATTAGGGAAATAACTATTTAAACTCAATGAGTATAAATTTGCGATACATTTTGAACAAATGTATTGTATTATGGATGGGGCGAATCAGTGTAGATATTATTTGTCATGTATAGATAATAAAATGGAGAATGCGAATTATATTTATACGGATTAATGTAAATAAATTATTGCCATGTATTATGAAATTACCAGGTTCGCAGAATATTAAATGTTGCTGTTATTAATTTGCTGACGCAATATATATAATTATATATAATTTTTTAATAAAGTTTGCTTAGTATATCGGTGCATATATTCTTTCGAGATAATCCTTTATTTTTGCTTTTAATCAGGATTGACGGTTTTTTTTGTATTATATTATTCTTTATGTTATTTATTCGCGTAATCCTTGTATTATTATATTCTGACTTTTGCAAAGCGACATTATACGATATTTTGATTGAATATTAAAGATTTTCAAACGTCTACAGAAGGGTGTGTACAAATCGCGGGAGAAACTAGCGACGTCACGGAGATGCGCGGTTTCCGGCGCGCGCGTTTCGATTCGCCAATTCTGATGAAATTAAGCGGATTCGGCGATTACGAGCGGCGCGGCGCGTTGAAGCGAATTACCGGCGGGATGTTTCAATAATAGGGGCAAATTCAATATTGACGGGCGTAGAATAAATAATTCGCGGATAACGAGAGGCGGTGACGCATTCGCGCGCGCGCCCATTGTCGTCGGCGTGTGGAAAAAGCCGCGCGTGTTGAAGCGTGATTACGAAGTTTGGGGGGCGGGGGAGAATCCTCACTCGCATACGCGCGAGGCTCTTTCATTACGATCTTTCATTAAAAACCCTTTTGGGTATGCGCCGAACATCGTTGTAATTTATCGCCCTCCGTCCCTCCTTCATACTTTCCCATTGCCCTCTTCCTCTCCCCGTTCCCTCTTTTTCCCTTCCATCGCGTGCTCTGTCATTTAATCGTCGACGATTGCGTCCTTGATGTCTTTTGTGAAATACGAACGTGACGCTTCTGATTGCATTATTATCTTTATCTCTTTAACGCGAATAAAACTTGACTGAGAGAAAATTCACGGGATCGGAGTTAAAATAAAGGACGATTAAAGATAATTGTGACGTTGATATGAATATGGGATATTTATAATCCTTTTCATCCGATGATTCTCATTCCGACGGTGAATTCGAGGCAATTCTCGACGAAGATTTATTTTCAGAGAAGAACGTGAGTGTCAAAATACTCGCGTGTATGAATGGAGCGGGATCTGCTCCGGATACCTGGTTCCGCTAAAAAGTCACTCATTGTGCTTACCTCGTGTTTGATGTTGAAAAACTATTATGTTACAAATTATATTCCGTATCCGAATTCAAGGATTGTTATTTTGCCACCGTGGAATAAAATTTGTACGCTTTTTTTTTCACACGTGTCGCTTACTCGTGTGTGCATGATTAAAAACTTTCCTTTGTAACGCAAATCAGCAATGCGTCGAAAATACTTTACGCATAGCGTATGCATTACACGCGCCGACGGGGGAAAAACAATAAAACAATAAATGCGTGAGCCAAACACGTACAAACAAAAAACCGCACAGAGAGACGAATAGGCTGTAGAATTAATTCTCAATATATCTCGGTGAAGAGAGGGAGAAGGACGGAGGGGTTAGGATCGCGAACATAATGGCCGATGAATAACTCGTTATCTTCTCTTCTTCCGTCCATATTGTTTATTGGTATCACGTATTCATGGTCTGCCTAAATTTGCTACTATCATGCTTTGTATAATAATCTTGTTTATTTTACAAGTATTTTTACTGATATTTTAGACTTGTTCAAAAATTGTATCTGTCGGAAAATCTCAATTGGACATATATATGACATTGTTTCTTGTGAAATGCGAGATTGTTTTTTTCGTTAAATGTATGCAGTATATTTCTTGAATAACAAGCAATTAATAATCAAATAAATAATTAAATATTCGTTGTTTAGAAATATCATTTTTAAACATTAAGAATATCAAATTGAAATTTTTGTAAGTTGACAAATGATCTAATATTTTCCCGCAGCATTATATCGCTTAGAAAGCACTTTGTATTATTAATATAATTTAATAATTGAAATATCAATAAAATTCTTAATATGTATAATGAAAAAGTTACGATAAAAATAGTTTAATATATCTCTCTTTACGTTTAATAAGATTAAACTAGTAAAAAGAGCTTGTGAAGGATGATCGTTCGATTCAAATGCGAATATTACTAAACTCTCACGCGATTTTACACGCTCATTAAATCTTGGATATAGCCTTCTCTCTGCCGTCGATATGAGAAATTTATGAGCAATACTTCCGCATTTGTGAAAGACGTGTATGTCCTGCGAAGAGTGCACTCTCATCGCATACGTGACGGAGAGCCGTCGAGGATGGGGACGCGGGGGCATCGGGCGTTCATGTGTCACGCGTGTCGCAACACGCGCGTGTTATCGCGCGAAATGACACGTCCACCGCGGACGCGTAACGGCCGGCCGGATGCAGTTTGGACGCGGGAAGACAGGACGAGCGCACGAGAGAAAGAGAGAGAGAGAGAGGCTGTCCGGTCGACGTGACATGAATAAAAGATCGGGCGCGCGTTTCTCGGACTACTTTTCACAGCGGCGCCGATATTGACCGTCGCGTCGTCTTGACGTCCGCTTCTCGATATCGTCTGTCGAACCGTTCGCCGTAATTAACCCTTTGAGGGCTTTTTCAATTGTTTTTAGATCTTCGTGCTTGAAAGTGCGGTGGCGTCGATATACACAGACCGAGAAGCGAAACATTTGCAATTACTTTCATTTGCTCGACTGTTCGACTTTTGGAATTGAATAAAAATTTATTCGGGCATTTTTTCCATTAAAAAATGTAACTTTTAACATGAATATTTCAAATTCTATTAAGGCAAAGTAGATCAGGCGTGGAGATAAAGCAATTCGTTTATGTTCCGCTCTTATTAGGCTTGATTTTTTTTAAAAAATTACCAAGTTTTAATGTTATAATTTAAAGCTGTGACATACTTTCTATATTATTTATTATGTAGTTTGACTTTTTACGTTATTGTTAAAATAAAGTATATTTTTTAAAATTAAGAAACATTTCTAATACTAAACTATCTGGACAATCTATCTTTACAAAAATAATGAAAGTAAAAGTTTTAGTAATATTGAGCCTCGTAAGCTCAATATTACTTAAGCTTTCCATTTAAACTCTGAACACTTTTATTCTCGATACGTGCTTATCGGCTGACATGTGTGCGAGTATAAGTTACTTCATCTTATTAAGCGTCAAGGGTTAATGATGTCAGTAATAAACAATAGCGTTCCCGTAACACTACGCTTTCGCGTAAGGGTCGCGATGCGACGTCAACATAATTAACCTTTTCTTATGCTCTATAAGCGTAGGTGAAAATGTTTGATATCAATAAAACC